TCCCAAGGTCACCGAGGTCACCTGAGGTCACCATATTCGAAACGGCTGATGAAATCGCATACGCTGAATCGACTGGTGGTGTTTTCGTCACGATCGGCCTAGTAGTTCCTGAGTTATAGAATGGCTGCCATAGGCCACATTGGTTATGTGACCTCCCAAGGTCACCGAGGTCACCTGAGGTCACCATTTTCGAAACGGCTGATGAAATTGCATACGCTGATTCAACTGGTGGTGTTTTCGTCACGATCGGCCCAGTAGTTCCTGAGTTATAGAATGGCTGCAATAGGCGTCAATGCCGAGTTGACCTCTTGAGGTCACCGAGGTCACCTGGGGTCACGAGCTTCGAAACGGCTGATAAAATCGTACCTCCTGATTCGAATGGTGTTTCGTTCGTTCCGATCGGTCCAGTAGTTCCTGAGTTATAGAATGGCTGCAAGGGTGGCGGTCGAATAGTGTTGTCCCCCCCCCCCCCGCCCCCCATGGCTGATTGCACGCGTTAGAGAGCTATCGAACCCACTTTCAACGCGCTATAGCTTTATATGTCCTCGAGTGTCGAAATAGGCGAAACTTTTCCTTCGATGAACATGATGACGTGGGCTTTGGTCTGAACTGCAACATGACTGAAGTAATTTCTCCATGATTTTCGACGCTCTTTAGAAAGCCACCTACCGCCGCACTTGTCGCTGCGTGGCCCTGGAGTCAGGTTAGAAGGGAATATTCAAATACCCCTCAGGGGCGTAAAACTGGAAAGCCTGGGGCCCTGCTCTGCGGGGCGCGGTCGACCTAGGCTAGAGCCAGTTCGGGATGTTTACAAGCCCACGTAAAGCCCTCAAGAATCTGCATAGAGCACAGGCCTTCCAAGACTTGGGGGTTTAGATATCAACAATCGACATGGTCTTTTGAGACCTGCGTGGTGGCTATCAGAGGTCGGTGGGCCCCTCAAAAGCCGGTGCAGGAGCCTCAGGTGTCAGTTTGGAGCCATCATGGACCGGTGTGGAGTCCTGATGAATACCTAGGCGTCAAACCCCTAGACGTCAGGGTGGGGCCGGGCGTTGAGGCAGGCACAGGCCTAAAGAGAGGAGAATTTTCAGATATCGGCTTGGCATCTTAACCTGCGCCCCGTAGGGCTATCGGCGGACCCTACCACCCGTAGTGGGGGGGGGGGTTCGACCCCCCTAAGATCTCGGACGTTTACCGGCCGATTTTCAAAATTCAAACGGCGTTCGATAGCCCCACCGGGGAACTACCTGGTGACCAAATTTCATTGACCTAGGTCAAACCGATGACGTCACAGGTCAGGTCAAAGGTCGCATTTTCACCGTTCACAGGCATTTCAAGAAATGTGTTAAATCGAGTAAATTGGTAAGTCATTGAAAACCATCGATGGTACATTGTTCGTCAAACACATACTTCGCTATCTGAGGTCACTGATACCAGGTCAGGTCACAGAGGTCAGGTCACTGTGGGTCACCTGGGGGTCACAATATGAAAGTGTCGTGTGATACATGTTTTATGGTCCATTTTACATGACAAATGCGATTATGTGGGTCAGGCAGCCTTTGGGACCAGCTTAGGTCACGTTTTGGTGAAGGTCAGGTCAAGGTCAGGTCAAAAAAGGTCAAATTTTAAAGTTGATATTTTGCATAAAATAGGTATCGATTCGATGCAGCTCGTCACGGGGAGTCTAATGGTGGTCTTTGTTTTGCTCTACATGGTCTAGAATTGCCAAAAATGGAGTTTGAAAATTTGACGTCATCATTTTTGAACAGTTTTTTCGCTATAACTTGGCCAAAAAACAAGATATTGATGTGAAATTTCGTATGTAGATAGAAGACGGTAGGTACTATCACATATATTCCGGTTTTTTCGAAACTCAAAACACTTTTTGGATTTTTTGGCAAATATATCCAAAAAATTGCTTTTTTGATTTTTGGGGGTCAAAACTCAAAAATTTCAAAAATCCCAGATATAAGTTTTGTAGCCCTGTCAATTCTACACCTTTTATGTCTTGATCATTTTTCTGTATCTTCAAAGCTGTAGGCCTGACAGCTCTTCTCGCGAAGGTCTTTTTCGGTCGAAAATGGCAGAACATGACGTCATTCTGACGTCATTAGTGGCCAATCTATCATAGCCTCTGGAAAAATTTTTGGTCACAATGTGTAAAATTGATGCCCGGAGGGGTCCTGAAAGTTTGGTGGCGATATCTCTAGCCGTTTAGGAGATATCGACGGAAAAGGACAGGGAGGGGCCGTTTCGGCCCCCCTCCCCCTACGGGGCGCGGGTTAAGGCTGCATGGCTTTCTCAGAGGCTGACATATCGTACTGCCCGGGACCTCCATAAGCCTCAAAAACCTCTATGGGCCCCCTCACGCCTGGGATAGGCTTCCTGAAGCATAAAATCTCTGAGTCTTGAGATGGGCCCATTAGACATGAACTGGGCCATCAATATACATGTGGTGAGTTGACCTATATCAAACATGATATCGGCTCAATCAGGATTGGGATAGGCCCTCTCAGACCCAGAGAAGGCACGGAATACGGACCCTCCCACACATAGGATGATCCTTTCATTCCTGGGATGAGTTCTCAGGCCTGAACTGGGCCCTCTCAGACCTGAAATGGGCCCTCTCAGGCCTGAAATGGACCATCTCAGGCCTCAAATAGGTCCTCTAGGGCCTGAAATGGGCCCTCTCAGGCCTGACATTAGCCCTCTCAGAACTGAAATGGGCCCCTCTCAGGCCTCAAATAGGACCTCAATTGCCTGAAATGGGCCCTCTCAGGCCTGACATTAGCACTCTTAGACCTGAAATGGGCCACCTCAGTCCGGAAATGGTCCCTATCATGTCGAAAAAGGGCACCCTCATACCGAAACTGGGCCCTCTCAGGTCTGAAATGGTGCCTCTTATGCCTGAAATGGGCCCCTCTCAGGCCTCAAACGGGCCCTCTCTGGCCTCAAACGGGCCCTCTCTGGCCTGAAATGGGCCCTCTCAGGCCCCAAACATGCCTTCGAGGGCCTGAAATGGACCCCTTCAGGCCTGAAATGGGCCCTCACAGGCATCAAATGGGCCCTCTCAGGCCTGAAATGGGCCCCGCTCAAGCCTCAAACAGGACCTCTAGGGCCTGAAATGGGGCCTCTCAAGCTTCAACTGGGCCCCTTCAGGCTTGAAATGGGCCCTCACAGACCTGAAATGGGCCCTCTCAGGCTTAAAATGGCCCTCTCATGCCATGGAACGGGCCCTCCTAGGCCTTGGATTAGTTCAATCGGGCCTTGGATGTACCCCCTCAATCATAAAATGGGATTATAAATCCTAAAGGGGGGGGGGGCTATCAGGCCTGAAAACTGTTTTTCAGTCCTATGACGGACCTTGACATTAGTGATAAAAAAATTGCCAGGCTGCATATTTTCGAATCGACGGTGGGCACCTAGGATAAGAGACGGGGGTGAGATCTCACCCCTTTCACCCCCCCCCCCCTGGCTGCGCCACTGGTTCAAAGGGTCCCTCGGGTCCGAGAGGCCCTGCGGCGCCATTTGACCGCGCGCCGAGGGTTAACGATGGCCATATTTCGACTCAGAAGGGCCCCATAGGTCTCGTTAGAGTTATTTAGGGCCTCATGGGCCCTAAATAACCACACTAAGATCTCCACAGGGGCCCCACGCCGGCTTCTGAGGGAATCTTGCAGATTTTAAGGACCCCTCGGTGGTCTCCAAAGGCCCGTTACTGGCCTCTGAGAGTTCTTACCGGCCTATGAGGGGCCATTTCTCGGGGCATTTCCCGCCTGTGATGCTCACACACTTATTTTTCCGAGGGTCCCATAACGGCAACTAAGGGGGCCCTAATCGGCGCCTATGAGGGCCCACACCGGTGTCTCTGAGCGTTTCACACCCCCAACTCTTGAGTGCCTATACCAGTGCCTATTAAAGCCCTATAGGGGAGAGCGGGGTGAGTTGTATCATGGACAGGTAGTATCAGAGCGATTTTTGCGAAAACTATCCGTCAGATGGCAGGCTTGTCGCGACTATTTGAGACGCCACGCCGCGCGCCACCTTTCCGTGTTTTGACGTGAACAGGAGCGGACGTGTTTTCAGGTGAGTCCCAATAATGTGTTTTGATGGGTCCGTTGTAAGAAATGCGTTCTTTAGGAAATATATGTTTTTGACTTGAATATGTTGAAAGCTTTCTATTGTTTTACCATTATGCGTGAGTGTCAACATTGCTCTTAATCACAACATAATTCGTTTCGAGCAATGAAACATGGCGGATAGCGTTTCGCAGACCTTTTCTTGAAATGGCCCGCATGGACATGTTGTATCAGGGAGTGGTGGGAATAGTTGTATCAGTGATACAACTTATCCCACTAGTGATACAACTTATCTCAGGTTAAAACATTTTCCATTTCCGGTTTATACTTACATTAGACGGGTCGAAAATGGACTTAAAACAAGGTTGCAAATTGCGATAGATATATCGATAAGTTTTTATAGATAGTTAAGTCTTAGACGCTGCCTATACCTACCTAATTAAATTATATGTCCTGCCATGAAGGTGGATGCTTCCTTTCCCATACCTGCTACATTGCATGATTAAATCGAGACATCCAGGCATTTTAATGGCACGTGCACTGTACCACACTTTTCAAAGTTTAATGCAGTGCTTTAATATTGCCAGCCGTGTGGTTCAAGGGGTGTGGTTAAACGCGTTGAACCAGACGGCTGCTGACGTCACTATCAATTATAGTTGTGAGCTTTTTGGCAGGTATGGGAAACACCTTCCAGCCCTAAGGCCGGGAATTCAATAAATGTCACCTCGCTTTTTTAGCGAAAAGCACCTCGGGCCTAACGGCCCTCGGAGTTTTCGCTAAAAAACCTCGGTGACATTTATTGAATCATCCCGGCCCCGGGCAGGAATATATTTTAACCTACGTACTTGCCTATCATTCATATTATTCACGTGACCGTCACTTGCTTCATCCTGTAATCCTAATTCCTGAACGCTTTTTCCAGCTCACGAATGCCATGGGTCGGAGCTACGTCCGAAAGACAGATAGACGGCAGAACAGCCCGGAAGATGTTTTGGAGAGGGCGGCAACCCTAGTCGTTCAAAAAGGGCTGTCAATTAGAGGTGTCGCGAAAAATTTTGGCGTTAACTATCAGACCCTGAACCGTTTCGTCCGCATGAAAAAAGAGGGACGTTTAGGACAGCGCATGGGGTACCAGAACTGCGGAACAAGGGTGTTCACAGATGAGCAAGAATCCATCCTTGAAGGGTATCTGAAGGAGGCTGCCGAAATATTTTTCGGACTGACACCAAAGGATGTGCGCGTCCTGGCCTATGACTGTGCCAAAAAATATGGGATCACTGTGCCTCAATCATGGGAGGACAACAAGATGGCGGGTGTGGAGTGGTTTCGGTCATTTCGTAAGCGCCGAAACCTGGCCGTGAGAACCCCTGAAGCTACTAGCATGGGAAGAGCAAGCGGCTTCAACAGGCACAACGTAAACGAGTTTTTTGCAAAGCTCACGGAAGTTGTGGACCGCTACCAGTTCAGCAAAGAGGACATTTGGAATGTGGACGAAACGGGAGTCACCACGGTGCAAAAGCCACCACAGGTTGTCACCGCTAGAGGTTCGAGGCAGGTGGGGTCTCTGACCTCTGCGGAGCGCGGTGAGCTGGTGACCGTTTGTGCAGCGGTGAGTGCCTGCGGAAATACAGTACCGCCCATGCTAATATTTCCGCGGGTACGATACCAGCCTCACTTCGTGAGAGACGGTCCTCCAGGATGCATCGGCTCCGCGTACCCATCTGGCTGGATGACGAAGGAAAACTTCAAAATCTTCCTCGTCCACTTCGTGAAGCACACGCGATGCTCAAAAGAGAGGCCGGTGCTTCTTCTTCTCGACAACCATGAAAGTCACCTTGGCGTAGAGGCTGTGACCTACGCTAAGGAAAACGGCGTGGTCTTGCTGTCATTCCCGCCCCACTGCTCGCACAAACTGCAGCCTCTCGACAGATCAGTGTACGGTCCACTGAAACGATACCTTGGATGCGCACAGGCGAACTGGCTTCGCAACAACAGAGGGCGCACAATGACTATCCACGACATCCCCGGCGTACTCCGCGACGCCTGGGCAAGTGCCAGCACACAGGCCAACATCACGAGCGGGTTCCGCGTGTCGGGCATAGTTCCGCTTAACCCTGAAGTCTTCTGTGAAGCAGACTTCTGCCCGTCACAAGTAACAGATCGTCCAAGAGACGCTGGAGAGGACGGTGCAAGAGCAACTGGCACTCCTCAGCACGTGTCGGACCCGAGCAGCGCTCCTCAGCGCGCGCCGGACCCGAGCAGCGCTCCTCAGTGCGCGCCCGGCCCGAGCAGCGCTCCTCAGTGCGCGCCTGGCCCGAGCAGCGCTCCTCAGCGCGCGCCGGACCCGAGCAGCGCTCCTCAGTGCGCGCCTGGCCCGAGCAGCGCTCCTCAGTGCGCGCCTGGCCCGAGCAGCGCTCCTCAGTGCGCGCCGGGCCCGAGCAGCGCTCCTCAGCGCGCGCCGGACCCGAGCAGCGCTCCTCAGTGCGCGCCTGGCCCGAGCAGCGCTCCTCAGTGCGCGCCGGGCCCGAGCAGCGCTCCTCAGCGCGCGCCGGACCCGAGCAGCGCTCCTCAGTGCGCGCCCGGCCGGAGCAGCGCTCCTCAGCGCGCGCCGGACCCGAGCAGCGCTCCTCAGTGCGCGCCGGGCCCGAGCAGCGCTCCTCAGCGCGCGCCGGACCCGAGCAGCGCTCCTCAGTGCGCGCCCGGCCGGAGCAGCGCTCCTCAGCGCGCGCCGGACCCGAGCAGCGCTCCTCAGTGCGCGCCTGGCCCGAGCAGCGCTCCTCAGTGCGCGCCTGGCCCGAGCAGCGCTCCTCAGTGCGCGCCGGGCCCGAGCAGCGCTCCTCAGCGCGCGCCGGACCCGAGCAGCGCTCCTCAGTGCGCGCCGGGCCCGAGCAGCGCTCCTCAGTGCGCGCCCGGCCCGAGCAGCGCTCCTCAGTGCGCGCCGGGCCCGAGCAGCGCTCCTCAGTGCGCGCCGGACCCGAGCAGCGCTCTCCTGGAAGTGACTGACTGTGAGGACGCTTCGCACCACTTGACTGCCAGTAGTGCAGACGAAACGTTTTCTCCGAAGGCAGTTCGACCCATCCTTAGTGGTCATCTTCCTGCGAGGAAATCGCAGCGAGGGAGAAAGAAGAGGAGTTCGATGGTGTTGACGGACTCGCCAGTAAAGCGAATGCTCGAAGAAGAACAAGCAAAGAAGAAGCCCAAGACCGGGAAGGCAAATTCGAAGGAATCAGGAGCCAAGAAGAGGACGGTAAAAGCCCAAGGAAAGAAGACTAAGAAGCGAGTGAATAAGTCAGCGTCGAGGTGCGAGGCGTATGATTCCGATGCAGAGGAGACGTTCTGCCTCGTGTGCGTTGAGCCGTATTCCAATAGCAGACCAGGAGAACAGTGGATACGGTGTTCGGCATGTGAACGCTGGGCACATGAAGCTTGCATCAATTCCGATGGTGCCGGTCTCTTTGTGTGCCAGAACTGTGATTCTGACGACTCGGATTTCGCGTACTAGTTTGACACATGAGTTGACTGCAGAGTTCGCAGTGTTGGCTTAATGTTCAGAGTTCGCAGTGTTGGCTTAATGTTAGCAGACTACTCTGCCTTGTTCCTTTCACAAAATGGTTTGTCATCGAGAGAATGATGCGAAATACACGGTCTCATGGCAAGGGACGCCTTTAATATTTATTATATAAACACGGACGACGGACAAACAGATTTCGACATGTGTTTATATTGCAGAAATGATATGATTTTCTTATGGGTCGTGCGTACACTAAAGCGACATCAGGAAATGGCTGAGCTGATCTGCTGGCTGGAGCTGGGCTTTTTAATCAGGATACCTACTTGTATCATTCTTCGGACTGCGTAGAAGTGTAAGTAAGTCGCATTTTCTATCATAAAACATTGATACATCTTAACTCACCAGGCAGTACAACTTACCTCACTAGTGGGGCAAATGGTACCAGTTGTAGTGGTCCAATTTAAAGCGAGGTGTAGCCAAAATAAGAAACCGTAGCATGACGTGCGGTAGAATGCATGTAGAGAAAGGTTGTAGCTTTCCTTTGGTATATCAACGGTAACTTTATTCGTTAAATCTAGGGAGATATATGACCTGAAGTAAAAAGTGATACAACTCACCTCGTTCTCCCCTATCGGCGGCTCTGAGGACCCAACAGTCAACACCTGCGTATCTAAAGGCCACCCACTGGAAACTTTTGAGGGCCCCACACCGGTGACTCTGAACCCTGAGGGCCACACCGGCGTCTGACAGTACCATGCCGGTCTCTAAGGACCCCACAAGACTTCTTCTGCCGGCCTAAGGGCCCTGTGCCTGTCACTGAGAACCCCCTGTTGGCTTGTAGAGGGTTCGTGTCAGCTGCTCTAAAGACCCTTCACCCGTCTGTAACGGCTCCACACCAGCGTCTATGAGGGCCCAGAGCAACGCCTGTAAGGACCCTCATCGGCACCTCTGAGAGAATCACACTAGCACCTCTGAGCGCCTTGAACCGGCACCTGCATGGCGGCCTCATACCAGTGCCTCTAAAGGCCCCTTACTGGCGGCTCTGAGGGCCCTATACGCCGGTGATTCTGAGGGTGCTACAGATAACCGAAGGCATCACACAAGCCCTTAGTGTCGCTGAGCTTCAATCCCATAGGTACCAGCCTTCCGAGGGCGCCAAGTCAGTGCACTCATTGCCCCACGACCCTCCCTCACACCCGGAGTGGGTACACTGTGTTATACCTATATTATAGCAACCATTTTACCACTGTTGTACGTTGTGTATTTCTCAAATTTGACTCAAAATGTCTAGTATAAAATCTGGTCTGCCAAACTCATGGCAAGGCCAGGCCCAAACCAAAGCGGGATGACAATAGCAGATGTTGTGAAATCGATACTGTATCAGCAGAAACCATTCAGATGGCTAGGAAAATGCCGTGTGATGATGTTTAGATGCATAAAGAAAACAAGAAGGAAAGAAGTCCGAAAAAGGGAAGAAAGATCCTTTCACGCTGCATTAATGTTGAGGGGCCGCCGCCCCCTCAGCTCTCAAGTTGGGGGGGCAAGCGCACCCACTGCCCCCCCCCCCTCTTCCCGGGTCTATGAATACAGCCTTATCACTGGCTCCTAAAACTACGACACATGCAATCAACACTTTCCCCAGCAACTCGTCCAGAGGGCTGTTCACGGGCCCTGTGTGCGGTCGGACCGCACACAGCCTCCAAGCTCCGCCCACTGCGTCCCTACGTCAGCCTTCCGTCATCGCACACAGCGACCGCTGTGGCCGGTCGGGACTGGCCACAGCGGACCGTCCACCGCACGCAGCCGTGACGTCAGAGCCGCCTACCCATCCCCTACCCCCACGCCTGCTGGACGCACCGCACACACCGCACGCAGCAGTGTGCGGTGCCCGTGAACACCCCTCAGATGTAAATATACCAAAAGTTACACCCCATGGGTCTTACCTGTTTGTAGCGCCAGGGGTGGATTTTTATATTAAGTTGGGGTTGCACGTGCAACCCCAACTTTGAATTTTGCAACCCCAACATCGGTTTGTGCAACCCCAACTTTACAACTGAAATAAATCGGCGGGCGCCTCGAATGGTGCCGCCCCCATAACCCTGAGCCATCACAAAACTCTATGCCACCCGTTGACTTGGCACCATCTTTCAAAAGAGCCCTCCCCATCATGAAGCAATAGTCACCCCTCAACTATCTATTGTAGTTGCCGCCTCCTCAGACCTCAAATGTAGGTGCCGCTCCCTCGAATGTAGGTGCCGCCCCCTCGAATGCAAGTGCCGCCCCTCGAATGTAGGTGCCGCCCCCTCAAACGTAAGTGCCGCCCCCTCCAATGTAGGTGCCGCCCCCTCGAATGTAGGCGCCGCCCATTAAATGTAGGCGCCACCCCCTCGAATGTAGGTGCCACCCCCTCGAATGTTGGTGCCGCCCCTCAAATGTACCTAAATGCCGCCCCTCGAATGTAGGTGCCGCCCCCTCGAATGTAAGTGCCGCCCCCTCAAATGTTAGTGCCGCCCCCTCCCTCGAATATAGATTCCGGCCCTCCTCGAATGTAAGTGCCGCCCCCTCGAATGTAGGTGCCGCCCCCTCGAATGTTGGTGCGAGAATGTGGGTGCCGCCCCCTCATATGTAAATGTCATCCCTCGAATGTAGGCGCTGTCTCCTCGAATGTAGGTGCCGCCCCCTCAAATGTTAGTGCCGCCCCCTCGAATGTAGGTGCCGGCCCTCCTCGAATGCAGGTGCCGCCCCCTCGAATGTAGGTGCTGGCCCTCCTCGAATGTAGGTGCCGCCCCCTCGAATTTAGGTGCCGCCCCCTCGAATGAAGGTGCCGCGCCGCCCCCTCAAATGTCGGCCCCGGCCACTTATGCATAGGTGTCATCGGTCATCCCATAAAATGTAGGTGCCGTCCCTTCGAATGTAGATGGCACCCCCTAGGGTGTAGCTGCCGCCCCCTAAGGCCTAGTTGCAGTGCAGCCCCCTCAAATGTAGGTGCCACCCCCTAAGTGTAGGTGCCACCCCTTGAAAGGGGTGCCTTTCCCTCACATGTAGATAGATGCCGCCCCCCCCCCCATGCGTGGGTGCCGCCCCTCAAGTTTGTGTGCCGTCCCTCAAGTTAGGGTGCTGCCCATAAAATGTAGGTGCCGCCCCCTCTAAGTGTAGGCGCTGCCGCCTCAAGTGCAAATGCCATCGCCGCCCCCTCTAATGTAGGTACAGCCCACCGCTAAAGTAATGTGTGGTTTAACCAATCTCAATGGATGGCTTTGACTGTCGATTTTTTAATGCGGAGTGATCGAAAAGAAGACGTCAATAGATAAAGTTGCAGCTGCAAGGACAACGATACAGGCTAGCTACATTCAAAGTTTCATGGTGGTCTGGCTAATCATTCCTAAGCTTCAGAAGCAGAACATACCCAGGACTGAAACCGCACATTACTTATGCTGTGGACTGTACTACCCTCCTCTCAAGAGCTTGAGCTGTCACAAGGCCGTATAGAGCTGTCGGACATGCAAAAATGACCAGTTAAAAAATCGTGGATTTCGATTCCTGGTGCGCCGCTCACCGCTCAGTGGGGGGTGGGGGTGGTGCCCAGTGGAGGTCGCAGGGGGCATCAGGGCCATGGCCCCCCAAAGACAAATCAGGGGCCATCATATAATTTGCCCCCTTAAACAACCGATGGGCCTCGATGGGCGTAGGGGCCCTGGCTCTTACCCGATTGTCACGAGGCTCAAGAAACCAACGCCAGGTATTATGTAACAGCCCTCATACCGGTCTTTGAGTTTCCTGACTTCTGAGGGCGCTTCAGTGGCCTTCAAGGGCCCACATCGACCTCTCAGGGCCCTCCACTGGCCCTAAAGCGGCATCAGGAGTCCCCCAACCGGCCTTTGAGGGCCCCACACTGATCTCTTGATGGCCTCATTTCTGTCTCTGGGGTTCAGGACTGACCTTTGGGTGCCGGTCACTAAGAGCCCACATCGACCTCTGTGGGCCTCAAACTGGCCTTTGAGGGCCCTGTACTGGTCTCGAGCGCTCCCAAGTAGACCCAAACTGGTCTCTGGGGGTTCACGCCTCTAATGGCCTCATTTCTTTTTCTGGGGGCCCAAGACTGGCCTTTGGGTGTCCCCGAGGGCCGTACTGACTTCTGAAGGCCCGATGCCGGTCTCTAAGGGTCCACATCGGCCTCTGAGGGCCCTATGCTGACCTCTGGGGTCCAACACCGACCCCTGCTGGTCAGCGGTCAGCGGCTGGGGTCAGCGGGCGCGGTTGGAATGTGGACCAGTCTTGTTCGAGACACAATGCAAGCGGGAGCCCTACTGTCGCTTATAACAGGCCCCACACTGGACTCTGAGGGCCCCAAACTGGCCTCAATGGGCCCCAGCCGGTCTATGGGGTCTCTACACCGCCACTGATGGCCCTATTATGGTCTCTGGGGTGTCAGGTTAGTCTGGTCCCTGAGGGCCCACATCGGCCTCTGAGCCTGGGGCCCCATACAGGCCTTTGAGGGCCAATACTGGTCTTTGAGGGCCCTACACCGACCTCTGAGGGCCCCGAATCGGGCTTCTCTGAGGGACCCACACTAGCCTCTGATGAACCCATTCCGGTCGCTGGGGGCTCAAGATTGAACTTTGGGTGCCTCGCACTGGGCTCTGAGGGCCCACATTGACCTCCGAGAGCTCCACACTGGCCTGTAAGGGATCATATTGGGCTGGCCTCTGATGACCAAATGGTTTTGGAGGGCCAGTACAGGCCAGTGGCCACTCAGGGTCCCAATTCCAAACCGGCTTTTGAGGGCCATAACCGGCATCTGATGGACCGAACCGGACCCTGGTGGCCCAAAACAGGTCTCAGAGGGCCCCGCACCAGACTCTGAGAGTCCCATCTTTAGTCTCTGTGGTCCAAGGAAAAACTTTTGGCGTTTCATGCCGTCCTCCGAGGTTCCCTGTCAGTCTCTGTTGGTCCCCATGCCGGAATTTCGGAATTTGAGGGCCGTTATCTCGTCGCAGCGGGCCGGCATTAAGGTCTATTACCATATCGGGGTCACATCGGTTTCTGAGGGCCCATGTCTGCTGCCAAGGGTCCCTGGTCTCTGATAGTTCCATTTAGGTCTTTGAGAGCCCGGGCCAAACCCATCATAGGCGCCTCATGCTATCT